GCATCGCCAACCATATGCGCATCGATTTCGGGCATCACCGTGAGGGTAACGTCGACGACTCGATATCCGGTGAAAGCCTGCGAACGTGACTTACTCCTCCCGAGCTATGGAACATAGACGATTTATAGAGATCCTGAGTTTCTGACAGTTTGCTTTTCCGATTCCCAGATGCGGGTTCACCTGAATGCGGTATCTCGACTTCCGATGGCTGAAAAAACTCATCAAAGCCTTTCAACTGGAGACGTGGTGGGCGTTCCTCGCTCTCGCGAATCGGATAGAGATCACATGTCCGTTTGGAGTTGATTACCTTCTCGAGTAATCAGTCAAGAAGACTCTGGAACCGGTGACGCGAGCTTCTCGAGCGGTATGCCTTCTCGGAGCTTCCGAGACCAGAAGCTTTTCCAGAGTGATACTCGTATAAGTTCTTGGGTGTGACTCCCGAACTTACGAGTATCGCCGACCATTATACCATCGACCATCAGTCATTTTCCGCCATACGACGGAGATGGGAGACTGAATCTGTTGACTATAAGAAAAGTTTGACATCCTGCTCAGACACCTTAATCCGTCTAGTGACTGCGACGCCCTCTTCGGGAGATCTCATGCAACGGATGCACTAGCATCGTGAATTTGCGAATGAGTTGAGATTTGACTGCGGGCAGCGGTACTACAGCTGACTAGGATACGACAGCTGACTGAGCCAATTCTCGCCCAGGCTCTCGAGGATCGTCAATGCCAATCCTAGCTCTCGAGCAGAGATGTAGAGGGACATCAGCTCAACAAGGTCATAGTGAGTCAATGAGATTATGATACCAACGAGGATGCAATAACGTCTGAGGAGTTTGTATTCCGCCGAACCGATCACAACCGAGCTCATTCGTCAGCTCGGGCTTCAATCAGCCTTCGAACCGCTCTGGTTCCGTGTTCGCCGGGGAAAAACGCTGCAGTGATCCTTCAGGCTCGTCGACATCAGTCTGATCGTATGCGATCACATGCTAGGTCGAAGTCACCACGCATCCGCTTCGAGGCAGCTTTCCACTTCGACTCATCAATACGGCCGAGAGCTAGGACAATTTTTGACTCTCGTCCCCGATGCCTTTGCCACTCGTCGCTTAAGGTAAGGAAAGGTTTCCCCTATAATTCCTCCGATGACGAGACACTGAATGATCCTCAGACTACTGTAGCGGAAATTCATCCTCATTCCATTGTGCGATTACTTGCCACCGTTGTCTCATTCTTCCTAGCGGTGAGATCAGATGCGACTTCAATCGCCCGACCGGGAGAAGAACAAAAACGTCTCTTCGATTATGACAACTGAAGTTTTGATCGGAAGGGAACTTTTTTCTATCGACGGCGTGGCCTAATCGTCGCCCGAATGACCGTCAAGCGGCCAGCATTCACAGACCGTTGCGGACACCGCGATGGTGACGGTAGGGTCAAAGTACAGCCGGGTCCGTCGGCGATCCACATCATCTGGCTTCGGCAGCTCGATCGTTTCGCTGTGTAATTGAATGAAATTAAGTCTCACTGTGATGATGAGCGCTTGTTCCAGGAGAGCCGGCGTACAACAGGGGCTCAGTGGCAGCATTTAATTTACAATGAACGGTTGCCCATTGTCTTAGGTGAGTCGGTTCTAGGCGCTTCCACAGGCTCGCGCTGCACAGGAGGGAAGCCCGGGGGCCTCAAAGTTCCAGGGTCTCTTCCTGGAAATTCGATTGTGGGTGGGAGCGAATCCTGGGAAGCCGTAGAGATCGATAGGAGCCGTATTCCTCGGATCCAAGGAAGGAACGGATTCTTTTCCGTCAAGGTCCGACTCCTTCGAATAATTCGAACTCAAGACCCCGCGGTCAGGATTCACCGAGTACGACTAGGCTTGATGCGGCAATCAGCAATGCGTTCGCGGCCGTTGCATTCCGTTCCGACTGCATGTTCATCGACGTGTCCTGCGTGTTGACTCTGGACGTGAACAACCATCCATAGGTCAGCAGGATTCCTCTTCCTTTCCCTACAGACAGTATGAAAAAAGTACTCCTGCATCGAGCTCTGCTCGGAGAACATAGGTCCGACCGATGCTGACGCATGGAAAAAGGTCGCGAGCACCTCCTGCGGACGTTTTTGAATCCTCGAATGACTCCCATTACATCAGCGGGGGGCGATGTGATCCGATGTTTCGCGGTCTTTTCGGTCGGCAAGCACAGGGACTCGATAGCTCCGTTGTGCCCGATATCACGAATCATTTGTGAGGACTCCGTAACGAATCCTCCGTTTTGACCTGGTGGGCCGTACTATCGAATGAGCCTTTGATCATGCCCACGACCTTGAATCGACTACGTCCACCTCTCGGGCCAGATGGGTTTACTAAATCACCCTGAACGATGATTAATGATTATTGATCGTCGCTTTTTTCCGTCACCGATATAGAAACATGACACGTGCGGGAACTTCGAGAGGCAAGATCTCCTCGAGCTCATTCGACAGGACTCAGTGAATCAGAAATTAGGAACGTACGACAGCTTCGAGGACATCGATTGAGCCTAGCAGGCATTTCCAAATATTCAGTCGCAGACAGTGTTCTCGAACCGAATTTTGCGAGCCTCCAAGGGAATTGGCTATCGCATTCCAAAGTCGGATATCGCTTCTGGTGTGAGCATGGGGCTAGGGCGGGCTCATTTACCCAGCATGATCGGCAAGGAATTCGGAGGACATCCCTGGCCCAAATCATTTGCGAAAACTGTGAAGGGATAGCAGAGATACCAACGAACACCTCCCCGCATATCGGAACCTAAGCGCTGGAATCCGCTCCGGAGCTCAGGACCAGAAAGGTGATTTGTTCCCCGAAACATTCTAAAGCTTGTGTCAAACTGTCTAGGGATGGGAAGAGGATCGAACCAAGCTCAGAGATTGACGGACCTGACAATCTGGAGGAAGACTCCGCGTACATATCCTTCGCACTCCTGTCCATGGAGTTCGCCGGAGTAGCTATCGTTTGCCTCGTGGTATCCGGGCTTGATACACCCAAAATTGCGGTAAGCGTCCATCGATCCAAACATTTCGACTCATTTCACCGATTGGTTTTCATACCAGGCGGATCTCGGACTTCTTTCTGGACCGGTTCCGGCGTACCATTGTGCGAGGCTATATGTAGATGTATATGATCCGCGAACATTTCCTTGAGCCGAGCGCTCTCATCGACAGCCGTATGACGACGTTCGACTCCTCCATCGATTTCGGTCCGAATATTTCTCTCGAAGCCGATCGAAGTGATGCGCGTCCTCCGTTACGCCCCAAATAGACTTGAACACCTAGCAGATATGATCCATTGTGAAGCCTTCGTGAAGCCCACTTCATCGTCTGCAGGAGCTCTAATCTGCATCGGTGCCCTTTTAGGAGTCGCTCGCGGGGACCCCACGGAGCTTCGTATTTGCCCAGGTCTTTCAATCCTCCGAGCTTGCCCTGGATTTCTCGAATCCGGTCCGGACTGCCGCTGCATCAACTGGAGCCGAGACTACGATGAATGATGATGAGCTCCCGTCTCGCCGAAGACGTCGGTCGATAGATGAGCACGTACCGAACCAATCTCTCCATGAGTCACAGACTTTCGTTTTTCACGTTTTCGCGCGGCAATGCGTCGGATACTAATTAGCTCGCTAATTCTCAGTGCTCATTTCTCCCAAATTATTTCCTCAGCTGCTGAACCCTTTTCTAAGAAGGGAAGCGTCTTTCCTGAGACGCGCGCGTTGTCTCAGACGTCCATTGTCTTACGCTTCGGAAGTACACAATAATTCAACATTATCATTTAGAAAATTCCTGCTCATCAGAGAAGCCATGAGTGTTAACGGACATGTTGTCTCAGCCGCAGACCTCGACTCTGGAAGGAAATGTGCTTTTTCGGCGGTCACGGAAGTTTTTTTGGAATGTCCGCGATTTGTGTGTTCTAAATTTCTCGACTGATGCTCCCGATTCTAATCAACGGGGACCTCCCTCCAATCATTACACTTCCCAAGCTTGACTCTACAAACCTTCGTTGATGCTCCTTACTTATAAGTCTCGGAATGCTTGGCAGACTAGTTGAGGTTTCGGAAAAAGGATAGGGACCTTACAAGCGAGCCTTATACCCTGGGAATAGTTGGTTCCGGTTCTACGTCGGATCTAGAGAGCAATTATAACCGGACGGGTTACGACACGAGTTTTTTGAAGTCTCCGGACTACATTGTATTCGATGGCACCGACATTTCTCCTTTCCGCGACCGCCTGTGCAAGACACATGAATTATGAGCGATTTGAGCAATAAGATTTCGATACATTGTATACAAGATTGAAGGACATCAGGACTTCCGTTATCCGGAGCAAACCTCCGCACAGTGGTGTCTCAACATCAGGGTAAGTCAGAATTCAGTTATTCCGAAAAAGGAGATCGCCCGAAATGAATGATGCAAAGACTGTGCACGTGCAACGCTCAGGCAGCTCTAACCGTAGCGCGACTGCGAGACTGATCCCCGCCAATTCGAATACGTTCGACGTTCGAATAATTTACCCACACGTTACGCTCCCTGAGACTGCCCGGGAACCGGACGACACCGTGAGGGAAACTGTGTGAGAACGTTCCTCACACCCTGCTACATGGGCAGAGAGAGAATGGTAGCAAGAGGAGCAAATGTGGCGGGCTCTCGAAGAGTTTTTCTATTTAGCGCTTGGAGAGAGGGGAGAAGCTCTATTCGGGCCCTCTTGGTATTGAAACAAGAAGCTGATGGACCTAAGCATCCAGAAAAAAGAAAAGAAAACCAGCATGCGAAGCGCTCTCGTCATATTATATCACTGCGAGCGGCGTCAGCGGCAGCGAAAAAGTCGTCAACAGCGAGTGCCACCGCAGCGGGGCAAGCGATATCGCTTGAGGCTGACCGCAGGGAATCCCTCTAGTCTATTCTCAGGTGGTCCATGCAAACACTTTCCCCTGGAAACCCTCGCCCGCTTCAAAGAAGACAACTTCACGAAAGACGAAGCGTACAAGATACGACAATTGTGACGCGGTCGCACTCCTTGATCATCCGGCTCTTGCATTTGTGTCTCAATTTCTGGGGACGAAGACGATGGCACGTGTTAGCACGGGGTGAGTGAACGCGCCCCTGATTGCATTTGATTACGACATTTTCTTTTTTGAGAAGTCGACCCCCGCCATGAGTTCTGAACCTTCGGTGGGTCCCCGATATCAGCCCAATGAGGCGACGTACCCACATTCGATTCCAGACATCAAATAATTTCTGATTCAGATTCTTTCTTCCATCGATCTCTCTGTCTGCGATGGACTCCGACGAGCTTTTTGAAAGACGATTAATTCCATGGCACACCTGAGAACGCTGCACTTTTTTTTCCAAGGGTCCTCGCCGTGCTCGGTTTTGTGATCTGCGCTTGCTTGTTGACTCTGGCTCAGTTCGACATTAATTCTATCGACACTGCACTCAGTGTAGCGAAGATGAAAATTGCAAAACGTCAGCAAGAGATCAAAGGTTTCGCAGCGAGAAGCATCGGCAGTAAGTAGGAGATACCGTCGACTGTTCGGGGAGAAATATATCCGTTCTATTCGCCTCATGTATATGTATGAGGACGAAAAACGTGCAGCGCATATAAGCCAAGTCTATCCCGAGCCTTATCAGCCGTCTCTGCAATCCATCGTCCTGGCAAGCCGTCCACCTTCTTCCGTTTGTCCCGATCATATGCTTGACGTCGAAATGCTCCCAGGAGTTTCAAGCTCCGCATGTAGGGTCAATAATCTCGGCCTGGGGCAATGATTTGTCATTGTGATTAGTGTCCTTATTCCCAATGGTGATGTCAATGGGTACGAATCGGAGTCTGACGACTTCCCAAGGAATGAGATGCCTCTCCATAGTAAATCTATCTCGGAATAAGGGAGCAATACAAAATACATAATGCGGTCGGGATTGCTGTGAATGACAGGGAGGCATAGTCACGACTCAAGCTTCAATTGAAACGATCCCCTCCGTGGTTTACAGAGTGTCCTGTGAGCTCTCCCAGATGTCCCTTCGCGAGCGGTCAGCATTTCCAGTCGAGGCCCTCTACGAGGGTCTCCCGGGAAATAGCCGAGAACGCTCGGATCCTAGAAGAAGCAACCAAAGCTCTGCTATTCCGGTGAGTCAGGATGCGTTGCATGACTGCTGACTCTTCTCTGGTAGCTACCCATCTGAAAAAAAACAGTCCTGCAAACTGAATGCTTGCTTCGGTGAATCACTGGGGTGCTGAAGTAGCCGATTGGGCCGTTTATCGGTGAGCGTTACGAATGAACTCCGAAGTGGCGGGAAGTGTCTCCCGTGCACGGCTTCGCCCACAGGGACTTGTTTCTCTCTCGTCGAGTGGCCCTAAATTTTCTGGCACGGTCTCAATCTTTGGCTCATTCACAATCACTTCGACCGGTTTCGAATATTACAGAATGTGACGCTTCCGAGCGGAACGCGCCGAAGACGCGCTCCCGTTCTCCTCGCGATAACTTCGCGAAAGACTCTTCTCTCCGTTGTTTCTGCGAGAGAGCCTTATCCCCATAATACCTATCGAATGTTTTGGACTCCCTAGCTTGACAGGGTTTCCTGATCAAAGGCTCCCTTTTGTCATACGATCAAGAGATAGGCGTAATGCTGCTGAAAAATCAATGGTGTTCCGGGGTTTGAAAACGTTCGAAACGTGCTTGGTGTTAGGTGAGCTTCTCTAACCAAAAACTTTCCTCACAACAATCTTTCCGCGCTTCCCCTATGCTGCTTGGCCTGCCTCTTCCGCTTCCGTCGAAAACGTAGTAAATACGGAATTGTGATCAGGGATGCGCCGTCGGAGCCCGGCACGACTTCTCGCGCTTCGTATGACCAGATCAATCAGGTGAACACTATCAACTTGGGTCAGACACAACTAGCCGAACATGAAGCTCAGTGCAGGGAACGACGGAGAGCGAAATGCAACCCCCAGCTGCCATGGAGATCGGGCGACGGCCGTTGCAATAATCTTCAGAACACTCATTGGGGAAGGGCAAACTTTTGCATGACTCGACTCCTTGAACCAGCCTACGAAGATGGCGTTTCTGAGCCGCGAGGAGGTCGCTTCAATAGCCGACTACCGAATCCACGCGTAGTCTCCGCGACCGTCAACGCGTTCCGTAACGTCACGGCTCCCAACTTTACGCATATGCTGATGCAGATCGGTCAGTTCCTCGACCATGACATCGCCTTAGCGCCGATGGAGGAAGATCCCGGCGAAATCATCAATTTAGGAAGTAAGGGAATTTCGAACCGGGCTCCTGAAATGTTTTTTCCTCTTCATTTTAAGTAGGCGGGTCCGAACATTCTGAGAGTCTCGGAGGAATAATACGTCTCCATCCCAGATCCGAACAATCCCATCGATTGCTGCAGCGAGGATCGACGAGACGGGCCGGAATGCTTCTCTTTCGGAATTCCCGGAAACGACCCTTTCTTCTCCGCTTTCAATCAAGAATGCATGAACATGCCCCGCAGCGCTCCTTGCAGCAACTGTCACCTCGGTCATCGAGAACAGCAAGACTCTCTCACCTCGTACATCGACGGGTCTCAGATCTATGGCAGCAGTGACGAGGACAATCAGAGACTCCGCTCCAAAGTCAAAGGACTGCTGAAATATCAGGTTAGCTCTCTGAGCAGCCCGATACCCCATGGAATATCTCATACTGAATTTTTCGTGTCATTCATCTCCCCCTGCGACGGAGCGGTCAAAGTTTTGATCCGCAGGTGGTCAGCGATCGACAGATGCTGCCTCGATCGTTTCATCCTAATGAAGATCGCTGCTCGAAACCATCAGCGGGACAGTTTTGTTTCCGCGCCGGTGACGAGAGGGTCAACGAACAACCAGGCCTGACGGCTATGCATATCATCTGGCTCCGGCAGCACAATCTCATCGCTGTGAAATTGAATGAAATCAACCCACACTGGGACGATGAGCGTGTTTTCCAGGAGACCCGACGGATAGTAGCAGCTCAGTGGCAGCACATAATTTACAATGAATGGTTGCCCATTGTCTTAGGTGAGTCGGTCGGTGGTGCTACAGCACGTGGCTTGATCGGCAGAGAGGGGACAAGGGCAGTGTTATGCTTGTCCGGCCCTCCGTCGAAAGTGAAAATTTCCGCATCGAACATGACTGAATGCAAACACTGGGGAAACTAAGGAAATCAGTCGAATATGATTTGCGAATATTTTCACAATTAAGAGATCCGTTTTCCCTTGACAGGACCTGACTACTCGGAGGCTTTCAAGATCAAGACCCTCCAGACTGGATTCAGTCAATACGATCCCACGGTCGATGCGACAATAAGCAACGCGTTTGCCGCCGCTGCATTCCGTTTCGGGCACACGATCATCGACGGCAATTTCCTGCTCATCAACAGTCGAGGGGAGACGGGATCCATTCGTTTGCAAGATTTCTTTTTCTCCCCCTTCGGATACTACGAGTACGTACCCGAACCTCGGGCGCTTACCGTGAACGGCGTTATGGCTGATCTACATCCTAAAGCCAAGCGTGTGCTCACCCCATGCAGTTGCGTTGAGAATCGAGGATCGATCGTTGCAGGGGGAAACTCGACCCGATGCTCCGAGGTCTTTATAATCAGCCAGGACAACAATTCGATAGATTCGTCGTCACCGATGTCACGAATCACTTATACCGGCTGCGTAACGACTCTTTCGGCTTGGACTTGATAGCTTTGAATATCCAACGGGGCCGCGATCATGGATTGCGACCTTACATCGACTACGTCCGCTTCTGTACAGGCCGAGTGAGTACGGGTTGTAAGCTCTCAGTAATTTCCCATAGAGAGAGTTCGCCGAAGGAGTCCAGAACGAGTTCGACTCAAACGAATGACTCGTACCCTGACAGGCGATCTCGGACTGGAACGATCTGCTCACTTTCATGCCGCAGGATGCGGTTCAGCAATTGTCGCGAGTCTACGCTAGAATCGAGGATATCGATCTCTTCCCGGCCGGCGTCGCTGAGTATTCGGTGGCAGGAGGCGTCCTAGGACCGACTTTCGCTTGTATTCAGGGCAACCAGTTCATGCGTTCTAAATTCGGAGATCGTTTCTATTACGAGCATGGGAATCAAGCCGGCTCATTCAGTGAGCAACAGCTGCAAGAAATCCGAAAGATCTCTTTGGCGAAGATCATCTGCGACAACTCTGACAGTATAAAGGAGATACCTGTAAATGTTTTCCGCCCTATCGGAAGGTTAGTTTCGAGCTTCGGCGTGAAAATTTTCCGCGGTAGAATAAGTTGGGGAGAGACCGTCATTGAGGCACAGATGGAGCTCGTGTTCCATCATTCAACACCAACGAGAGCCCCAACAATGATGTAATTATTTATTTTCAATGTTTTCGACATACCTTCCAGGGACGGAAACACGGTCCAACCGTGCTCTGAGATCGATCGCAGCAACATCCGGGCTTGGGCAGAACAATAGGATCAAACAAGGCAACTTCTAGTCAAATCTTCCGAGAGCAATCGAATGATCGAGGTTCTTTAGGAAATACAGGTTATTTGATACGCAAGGTTTTCTTCGAGCAGTCATGCGTTCGCTCTTCCACCAAACGCACGTCATTTCAAATAAAATAATTCTGAGAATTGCCGTGACCACCTGCGCATACTTATCACTATTGGACGAATTCGACTTTCGTTCCAAGCGAAAATCATTCCGCCACACAACACTGCGAAATCTCACGGATCCTCAACCGTCTCGGAGCATCCTTCAAAATCGCGCAGATGCCACGGAATGCTATAACACCAGGAGAATTTCGGGCTTGGAAATAATTCTTGCAACAGACGAGATCCTTGAAAAATCGACAGACTTCACTGATTTGCTTCGAGAAAGAGGAGCTCGAGGTGAACCTATCACACTTGTCCACGCTTGAGTTCGAAGGTGGATTGGCACTCATAGGAGAGCAAGTAGTTCAGGGATCATCGTCTGATGAGCATTCGGCGGCATTAGCTTCGGTGTGCCTCCCGCTGATGCACAGAGGAACTCCTTCACTGTTCCGCGAAGGAGCGCATTTTCCGCGAAGTTTCCTCGTCACGACGACATGGCATTCTTTGCGATTCCTCTCGTCCCACTTTCGGAGGAGCTCACCCGTTTCATCCGGAGATTTCTTCTCGCCAATCAACACGCTGCCGGCATCGTCGATCATCCTCTTGAAATTGAGGAAGGCCTTCCGGAATTGAGATTATCGTTAGTGTAACGTCAGCGGTCGTACAAACTATAATAGTAGGAAGACAGCCGAATATACGTAAATATGTACTCAGAGGGAATGAATTCCGAAGGATTTCATACCATGTAGTCACGGGGATCTCCCTGACTGTTGACTCGAACGGGCCCCGTGGGCTCGAGCATCCTGCTCTGGGCTTGATGCGCCAGAACGCAGATGACAGTCACCAAGGCGACGACAGAGAGCATGGCGATCACGACGGCGAATCTCGCACAGAAAACGTTCCGACGATCGCGACTCTTCTCTCGGGGATATTGACAGTGTAGATCCTCAGAGAGACACCGGTCGCGCTTCGACTTCGGCGAAGTCGCTGCCATCTACGCGCACCGGTCTCCTTTTATAAGCTCGTCTCCCGCGATGATGTTCGAGATATGAATGATGAGGCTGATGCAACGAAGCCTCAGCCACTCAGCTCGAGCCACCGGCTATTCGTCTGTTCATCCGAATGACTGACCAACTCACTGAGTGGGCACGAGATGAGATCTGGCAAGAAAGCGGCGGTCATAGTTCTCGATGCGGTTCGCAATTCGCAAGAAACGCACCAGTGGCTAAATTAAGCTCCAGGGGGCGCTCCAGCTCCATTTCCCATTTCGAGATGGGAACCAAACAGCTGAGATGGCTCTTGTCCAGATAGCTCTGAAACAGTCTGATGAAACCTACGAAATTAGCATCGCGAAAGCCATGAGTCCGATGATGTAGCATCCCGAGCGGATCCTTGCTGCCTTCCGATGGAGAAAAAACGGAGCACATGCTCCGAAGCTGTAACCGTCGCCGAGAGGAGACGAGCTCCGAGCCGAAACTCACTAGAGGCGGTTCCAGGGAAAATCCGCGCTCGACCATCTGAGTTGAGCAGGGCTGCAGCATCCGATCTTCATCTCGAAAAAATATGCTCCGAATCGAATTCTGCCGGAGATCAGATGAGCGGGACTCGCGTCTCATTTCTCTCGCGATTGACCTGCTTACTGGTGCTGTGTGGTAATTCGAAGGCATAGCCACGGAAAACTCATTTCCCGCACGAGCTCATCCAGTCCTGTCGCGGAATTTCCATTTCGACGTGGCTCGTTGACGACCGCTTTACAGAAAACGCGAAAACACAGCAGAGCATTCGTATTTCTGGGAAGGAACGTCTGAGGGAGATTCCGGCGGCAGTTCAAAATTCAATGGCACTGAAGTTAGAGAAGATGCTGTGCATGTTTCTGGGCGACCGGTTCGAGGGCTCTCGCGGACAGGTCCCTTGAGCTAAACGGAACTTTCTGGTTTTTCCCTTTATTTGTCGACGGTCTGCTCCGCTTCGGCACATTATCTCATAACTCGTAATATATCGATCGATTAGGGATAGCTTGCAATAATTCACGGAGGTTATTCGAGATCTCCGGAGAGAACACAGCCACCTGGAAGGGAATAGTCGGCTCCGGACCGCGGCTCGTGATTGTTGGAGCTTCTCTACCGTTCGGGCTCCTGAAAACTTCCGACATGTTCCGCCGTCCGAGATAGTTGATTGGAAACTTGACACTCACTCAGACTCCATGTCGAGTTCATCTCTGTTGCATTCAAAAGCGGTGTGGAAAGGTGCGAGAAAAAGTCACACGCGGAAGTGATCCTCATAGACGAGATAAGCGCGAAGGCCAGGTGACCAACTCGCGGTTTGTCCCGCGCCGCGGTTCACCCAGAAAACGGCGACAGTCGACCATGTCGCCAGAATGACATCACAACGTCCGCGTGGAGAGAGCGCAAACTTCTTTCTTAGCTACTCATTTTACGTCTCGTACACGCTCCCGGTCTCGTCTCATTGTTGCCGTTTGTCCCCGGAGGCGGCAACGTGCTCATCTCCGAGGTAAGACGGGTTCCTGATCCGTAGCATCGTATGTGTCAGAACGGGCACTCTGACGCAAGACGCTCCGAGCATCCGAGCGAAAATCAGCCGGCACGCCGCTCTGAGTGCTCCTGTATTCCTCCTCCTGACCGTGACGCGATGAGATGCATAACGACCGAAGTCCTCCTTTCAGACAGGGACCACCTGGAAAACCGCATCGACTCGCACGGCAGAAGCGGAACCAGAATATTCTCCGGCTCCCTTGCACCGAACGGCGTTTGGCTCTACCGAGCGACGGCCATGTTATCGCCATCTACGCTGTGGTGTTGCGCGGTCGCGTCGTGTTTGTTGCCGGGTGTCGTGAGAGCCCAGTTCGGCTTCACGTTCCAAGACAGCCGTCTCGCTCCCCAGCCTCAAAGCTTCCAGAATGTCGCGAGCAGGTCCAGCGTCGACCAGAGACGCGACGATCCGAACGATCCCTATCCAACAGGTGGTAGCCTGCCAACCAACGGACCGATCTACAATGGGGGACTCTCGAGAGATCCTCCGGCTCCCGGTGAAACCGCACCCGGCCAGTGCATCTGTGTGCCGTTCTATCAATGCAGTGATGGATACATAAACGAAGACGGTTCGGGAATTCTCGACGCCCGAACGAAGAACCCGCCCAAGGAGGAGATCCCCCTCGATTCTGCACAAGGCGGCGATCCCAACTGTCCCGGGATCGATCAGCTCTGCTGTAAAGAACCGAGCGCTGTCACTCAACGACCGGTGATCTTCAGCTGCGGCATCCGGAACGACAACGGTATCAACAGTCGAATTCTTCAGAAGAACATGAAGGGCGAAGCCGAGTTCGGCGAATGGCCATGGCAAGCGGCCATACTGAAAGCCGAGAACGGACAAGTTCGCTTCGAGTGCGGCGGAACTCTGGTCAGTGAACGCCACATTCTCACCGTGGGACACTGTGTCTACCGATCGAAATCCACGGGGGCGCCGCTGGTCGTACGTCTTGGAGAGTGGGACACGAAAAACAACAATGAGTTCTATCCGCATGAAGATTATGAGGTCTCCAACATAGTCGTTCATCCTAACTTCAGGAACAATTCCCTCTGGAACGACCTGGCAATCCTAGAATTGGCGACACCGGTTACGTTCCGGCCTCATATTTCACCGATATGTCTGCCCAGACCAGGCGAATCTTACGAAGGTCATGAGTGCGTTGTGACCGGCTGGGGCAAGAATTCATACCGTACCGGTGGCTACTCGAATATAATGAAGGAGGTCAAGGTGCCGGTGATCGAGCGCGTCAACTGCTTGGAGAAACTACGCCGAACACGGCTCGGTCCGCGCTTCCAGCTGCATGAAGGCTTCATGTGCGCGGGCTCGATCGAAGGCGAAGATTCGTGCAAGGGCGATGGCGGAGGTCCACTGTCCTGCTATCGGAACGACGGTCGGTACAGTTTAGCTGGTCTCGTTTCGTGGGGAATCGACTGCGGAGCGAGTGACGTTCCGGGAGTCTACGTTCGTATTGTTAATTACCTCGACTGGATTTCGTACACGACTGGGAGACCGCTCTCTGATTTCTCTCCGAAGTGAAACGTACGACGAGATTATCTGGAAAATGGATCGATTGGCCTGTCAGCGTGGAGTGTGGAGCCCCGAGAGACGTGGTGTGTTCGCTTCGAGTTCTCCCTGAGGGGATATTTTGTTCTCACAATAAAGCTGAACTTATGTACAAACGTGCCACATGAGTGCCCCATCTCTTTCGGCGCAGCAAGGTATTCTGACACATTCTCCCGTACAGGAGGGTTGTCGGCCCAGCTCATACGCGTCTTGCTCCAGATCTGAAGACACTGCGCTCGCTCTTCGACCCCTTTGCAGAACTCGGTGGCCATCCGTGGGACCGGTTTCGGCTTCTCCCATTTGTGGGACCGGTTTCGGCTTCTCCCATTTGTGACCGGCGAATGCGGACGTGAGCTTCTTGACCACGAGTCTTCCCTGTGGCGATGGTCACAGGAATACATTCCGACCACGTGTTCCAAGTTCAACAATTCTCTCCGCAACTCTAAACTTTCTTAACCGGTTTTCTAATTTTCGCGAATTGAAGCCGCTCAACGTCGCGGCGCTGACAGATCAGCGAGAGTCGCCGACGCGCATCGATGACGTCATGTGTGGATTCGATTCGAAACCGGGAAGACGTACGGAAAGGAATCGAATCGACCCCCTCCACATCCTCAGCATCAGTAGCGAAGAGGGATTCCTGCGTCACAGACAGGCAAATTCCAAACGGGATGACATTAGAATACATCAGCTGATGTCGGATTGTCTTTTCTTAGCTGCTTGTCTCTAACGAACGCGTGTTCAGTATCATACGGCATCATCAGACCGCTAAGCGCGATGTGACTAGCGCAAACGAGTTTTTGTTCCTAAGGCTGCGTCTCATCCCCTCGAACGAGACGTTTCTCCTATATGAGCCTTCAGAAAGAGCGGGGAAGCAAAAAAATCTGTCCGAGGTCGCGAGGATCGTCGGGTCCCCGCAACCTCCGGAATTCAACGAAGACAAGATCGTTTTTGGTTCAAAACCAACATTATGAGTTTTATTCAGTCATGTCAATGTGTAATCATAGCAGAGATGTCCTATACCAACAGAGTACCGGCGGCGTATCTTCGATATACTCATGTTGTGTAGTCCACGATTTCGTGAATACACACGTGGATGAACAGCACGGTACAGAATGCGAACCGCTCCCTCGTCGCCTCGTATCCAAGACAAAGAAGAGCGCCGGAAAAGACGCCCACTATTTTACACGTATACTGGGCAAGCGTAGACTCGGCTCAAATTCGTGCGAGTCGTGTGTTCATGTATACTCGGAGCCGCCGTCGGCACTTCGAGTTAAAACTAGAATAAGCACCAAAGGGCCAACAGTTCACTCCACTGAATTCAGATATTTCTAGGTGAGGGTCGAGGAGACTCCTGTCAGTCGCGTGGCTCACCCCGCAATAGTGGGAGGTTGGATGAATCAGTATCGAACATCGCAATTTCAAGAGTGACTCCTCCGCTTCGGAGATTTTCCAGCGGAGAGGAGGCGAGGGAGGTGACTTTTCACATATTCGGAAGAGTCGGTGCTCGACTCGTGGTTGAGGGCATAGAAATCGATCCCGCGTAATTGCGCAACACGATTGAGCAGCAGATCCTCAGACTTCGCGCCTGTCGCCTGAGGACTGCAATCATGCAATCGCGGTCGTGCATTCAATGGAAGGAACATTTGTTCGGCAGAGCTCTGTCCCCTGTCTGGCTCAGCAAGCAGATCGATAGGGATTTGCAGCCCGTCACGCACTCGGACGTGGGGGCGAGCTAGCAGCAAGAGTTCCGGCAAATTCCTCCACGGGGACGGGAGTCGAATTGATCCACGTCGATCCCGCCCTCGCCATCCGATTCTATACAGTTTAGCTTTCCTCGAGATTCTCCCAGCCATTTCTCTACAAACCGGAAAAGGGAAGGTGCGGAAGAGGAATGATTTCGAGAAGGTTAGCCCAATGCTCATCATTCATCATCCTCGGGGAGATCCTCACGCTCATTCTCAGGAGTTCGCGGAGCTGCTGGTTTCTCCTGCCTCCATCGAAATTTCTTGATGGACTCTTCCGAGGTTTCAGGGAAATTTCAAAAATCGTGCAGAACGTCGTATGGGGATCCATCCTCGCCTTTTTCTTGGTTGTCTGTTCGATGACTCTGATAAATATCGTATGGCTCGATAACGAAAATATAAAATCGCAGCGCGATGCGCTGTCAGCGGAGTGCAGAGGACACGAAGATACAGGTATCACATCGAAGAAAATAAAAACTCTTCATCATCGGCCGCCGTTGCTACGATCATGATCATCGTCTTCAGCGAGATCGTCCTTGATGAGTATGCTGAGAATTATGCTCAATTTCATTGTTTCCGGTATCGGCATCACTATTTTCAGATTAACTTAGCTAGGATAAGATAAGTTATAATAGTCAGTATCGCTTTCGTCGCATCACTTGTAATAATGGTAATAAATATGCATCGGTTGCTTCACGTTGTGAATGTTTTCTCGATTTCGTATCGTACGTAAGCATCATTATGATCACCATCGTCGCCGACCTTGAGTGCTGCGTCTACGATGAATGTAGCTTCCAGCATGTATTGCCCCGCTCATTGCTCTATTCCGATCTGAGTTCCCCTAGAGAAGTTCACCTCTCCTCTCTATGAGCCCGCTACCAATCTAAGCGCTTATAAAGCAGCTTCACTTTCTGAGTGCGAATTTAATCGCGATTGCACCACTGCCAACCACAGAAATAACAACGACGACAACGACAGTGACGATAATGATTATCTCCGGGGCCAGAACGTATGAGTGTTCAAAACCTGAAGAGAGCTCCCCCGTGAACCATTCATCATAACAAGCAGGAGTCATTCTTCCTATTTCTCTCGTTCTTCTCGCCTCACCCTCTTTTCATCAATTACGTTCACATTCATACAGAGACCATGTACAGTGATTATTTACAAGACGGCCCTCAAATCCCTCGATTGAAGCGAATTTCTCACATGGTAGACAAAAGGTCGGCTGGTATAGACTCCATCGATTCCGAAATTTACCGGGAGGAATTCGCAGGCTAGGTGCGTCGACGTATGAATTCTCCAAGAATCCTAATGATCATGGTTGCCGTTCTTATTATAATCATGATGAGTCTTAATGATGTTTTCAATAAATTAATTTGACAGCGTTTGTGCCGCCTTAACTATTTGTGTTTGTGAATGTCTGTGTTCCTTAGATTCTTCTGTATTGGGATTTCAGCAGTCAGTTTTGTGAGTCGCTCAAACGGATTTGTGAACGGTCGTGAAAACGAACCGCTAGGTCTATTGACAGATGTCAAATGTCGGTCACTCATCTGTTCATCAAACCTGTGTCCTCCATCATCATTTTCGCATCAGCATCTCTATCATCAAACAATATAAGTCACCCTGTTGCTCCAGTTGATAGATAACCTCGTCGTCGCGGAAGATCGCGCCTGGCGACGCACGAGCTAACGATGTTACAGTGGTTGTTGGCAAACATGTGTCGAACGCTATGGTTCAGAGATCCCTCGATTACAATCGAGTCCGCTTGGGTGTGATCTTCTCGAAGTTTCCTTTTGCTTTCGTCGTCGAGTTCGGGCCTACGATCGGACCCATCCGTTGGGATGATCGCTGCAAAAGGAAATCAGTTAAGACTCAGTCTCCGTGGAATGCTGGAATAGTCGGTCGTCCACACGATTCAACTTCGACACAGGCCATTTCGAGAGTATTGAATTGAATCATCAAGACGAATATTCGAGTCTGTGATGGGGAAAAAATCTCACATCGACATGTTGAAGTCTTGGAGTGCTTGGCGCACGGTCGAAAACAGTAGTCGGTTGTCTTCTTTCGAAGTATCCATGCACAGAGACTGCAGCCTCGCGAGGTACGAGTCGAAATTTTCTGAAGTGGGCTTCTCGTCCAAGTTCGTACGGTCCAAAAGTTGGATGAAGTTTGTTTTCAGCGACTCGTAGTACTCGTGGAGGCCTTGAGTTTTTTCCTCAAGTGCTAGATTATCGGTTTCAGCCATGCGACACTGAGTTTCCGCGTTGTAAATCCCTGCCCGTATGCGCTGCATTTCTGACTCCATTTTGGCGTTGTATTCTTGAAGGTCGGCTATTTCTTCGTCGAGTGCCCTGATATCTTGTTGGTCCTGGTTTAGGATGCTTCCTGATCCGTCATCTTCGACCTCTTTGTTTTGAGTTCTGCTGGCGCGAGAACATCCTGAATGGCCTCTGTGGGAGAGAAAGGTGCCGTTTGCGTTCCCGTTGCCTTCAGATCCCGATGTTAGGCAATTAGGGTCCGGCCTGAACGAGGATGTCATGAAATCTCCTGTTGAGCAAAGAGCCGAAAATATTAGTTCAGCACCTCGGACCGAGAAATGCGAGGGACGAGATTTATCTATCAGAAATCGAAGTATATCGTGCGACAGCTATACGATGGATGGCATCGGAAGGTATGCCCAGGTAGCACTTCGCAAAAACTCTCACCCGAGAGAAAATATTCATGTCGGATCCTGTTCTTGTTGGCAATAGGACAGCCGGAAGCACTCCGATGCGTTTGAAATTTTCCCGTCACATGTCCAGATCCATCGCATCCAGGTACTGGACAACGGAGGGGCTCCATTCCTCCAGCATCCGCTTTGTCAGCAAACGAAGCCGTCTTATACAAGGCTCTGACTTGGCCGGGACCCACTCTCGGACAACCGGAAAGGGTTCGGTGCGTCGAGTAGTTACCGGTTATGTGGCCCGTGCCGTCGCAGCCCGGTGTGGGGCACTTCAGTTCGTTGGATCCTCCCTGGCTCTGGTTCAGATTAGGGAACGTTCCTGCGATTGATGTGACTGCTGGTGGTCCTGCGACGGCCAATGATCTACAGGAAGACAAGAGAATATCTTCGGCTCAGTCAGCATGAATACGCACTTCATAGAGTTCATGGGGAAGTTGCTTGGCCCGCGCAACTATTACCTCGATGCCATCAGCACTTGAATCTGGTTGATCGACATCTCAAAAATTCGCATTGAAATTTCGTCAGTCGCCGCCCACCGGTAGGGTCAGAGATAGGAGCGCGGACCAAGACATTGGCCGCGAATTTGGCACCTACCTGTCATGCTCAATGGCGGATATAAAGTGATTTGTTGGTGTGCTGGCTTCATAGTCGTAACCAGCGAACTCTCGGTGATGCCCGGGAGGCGCCGTGCTGAAATCAACCGGCTCTGTCTGCTCGGAACACCCCGTAGCCCCGAAGGGTTTGGATCCTCCTGGCAGGCAGTTAGGGGAGTTTCTGCAAGTCAAACGGAATCCGTGACAGACCGTTCTAGTAAAAGCGGAATTCCCTAGGGCCAGATTGGCGTTCCGATGGATCATAGGATGTTGGGGGTGGGGAATTCCGCCGGAGAGGCGGCGCAGAAACTTACGGAGGGGACGAATCGGGAGAAGTTGCTTGACTTTTACTAAGAATGCCGGGTGAGCCTTGTGGTAATCTCTGCGGAGGCGTCGAAGGATAATACCCGCCGCTCATCCCGCCCACTCCCATTACGCCCACGGGGGGCACGATATACTCAGGAGGCCGTGAGTACTTCTCCAATTCTTTCGCTAGTTGGGTCCTCGGTGTGGTCTGTGCCACGTAGCCAGGGTACTTGTAGTCACCGACATCTAGTTGCTTCACAAAACACATGGGGCGCAGTACTCGGTCCGATTGCGCTGCAGGATTCATGTTCGAAATTAAAACCAGAATAAAAGACCGAACTCGTCGATACCCTGCATCTGTCGGATCGATTTCGGAGACTCGATCGAATCGACTGAACTCTCACCAGTAGAAGGCAGCTGAGCGGACTGAGTTTGTTGATGGGCGGCTTGGTGCTGCTGATGCTTCGCCTGCGCGCCCTTCAGTTCCCGTTGAGCCAGCTTCTCCATAGCCGCTATTGGACAACCCGACAGACTCCGATGCGAGTTGCGGTTGCTGTTCACATGACCGCGGCCGTTGCAGCCTGGCGTAGGGCACCTGCTCAACGAATCGAGGCCGTTATTCCATCCGGTCAGGTACACTAAGCACTCATATTGAACAGAATGACCTCAGCCAAGAAAGTGATAATTCAAAAAAATGTGCATTCGCATTTCTCTGCCGAAAAAAAACAGCCCTAGCGATCCTGAAACCTGTATAACGCATTCAAGCGGAACACGGGGGAACTGAAAGAGCTTATTATTCTCGATGACCTAGCTTGATCGCTTACTTGAGTATCGTCTCATGTTGAGCCAGAACTGTTAGCATTATGGGAGAGCATGGAAATCGTTAACCATGATATCATTCTCCTTCTTGGACGACGTATGAAGTCCTCCAGGAAAATTCTTGGTGCAAAGAAATTCCAAGAAGAAACTCACTTTCAGGGGTAATTTTATCCTTCCTTGGACATCCAGACAGACTCCTGTGATGCGAGTATAAGCCAGTGACGTGGCCAGTCCCATCGCAGCCCGGAGTGGGGCACTTGCTATCCTTCATGGTTCCATCAGGTGTCCGTCGATTGGGCGACTCGGGTGTTCTAGTTCCACCCGAAATGAGATCGTCGTCTATAACGCCGCCGACAGTACCGAGCATTGAAGGCTGAGTTGAATGGATCGGGGAGCCTCCTTGACCGGTCACTAGAACGCTGTTGTGGCCAAGCACAGACCGGCTGGGTCCTTGGGGTCCTCCGGGGCCGCGGCCACCGTTGCCATTCCCTCCACTTGGCGGACCTCCGGTGCCCTGAGGACCCTGCTGACCGAGTCTCAAACCCTCGTCTATGACCAAAGGGGGCTCCTCTTCATCTCTCTCACCAGGCTGCGGGAACAGGAATCGTGATCAGGACAACGAACACACCCGGAGAGCGGTTCCGGTCCATATCGGTATTGGTCTAATGTATCAGGGGATTGGAGATCATCAGAGGATCATTCCAACTCACATATGTCAATGTTTTCAAGGTCTCGTTCGATTTGTTCATTTCGTTGTAAGCCGTGGCTGGATTGTCACAGTTGTTCTGCGCCGAAACGTGATGGGAGCCAACACTAGTGAGCTGTTGATAGGTTAGGCCTCCTACCGGAGGCTGGTTAAAGCCCGGACTCGACATGTGACCCAGCGATGTATATTCGGTGCTACATCGCGACGAGTGAGGAGGAAACCTGAAACCGAACAGTTCGAATTCAGTCGGGGGCGTCCTGAACGGGGGAGCGAGCAGCAAACAAAACGAGTAATTCGAGTGAATAGCACACCCTGGAACGTACTGGGGAAACAAACAAGAAATACGAACCTCATGTTCTCGAGCTTTGGCGAGTCCGTCGCCATTCGAGAAGTGTCTGAACCAGTGCTGCAGCACGAGTTTTCACCAACATCTTCTATCTTGACCGGTTGCAGTGTGGTTGCACCCGGGGTAACAGGAGGCAACGACGGATTCTGCGACATGGTATGGTACAGCGAAGGACTGCTGTACAGAGCGGATGACGCTAACGGTTGAAGACTCGGCTGGAGCTGGTGAAGACTCGGGAGCGGGCCCGAGTTGGACACCGGAGAACAACCGTTATATAACGATCGGTATGAGCTGTTGCTAGTTTGATATTGGTTCTGCAATGGAATGACAAGCATTTGACGAGGATGAAACTGACCGAGAGAAAATAAGGAAACATGGACAGAGGAGTCGAAGGAAGGGATGGAAAAACAGATTGCAGTAGTAAATGATGATCGAATAAACATTCGAAGAAGGGTGTTTAGCCTCGTTGGGGGGGGGCTCGCTTGGGGAACTCGTCAGGTCAACAATCAGTGGCTTTCTTTCAAAAAAAAATCCACAAGTGTGGCCGATTTTCTCCCCCGAGATGGGGTGTTTGGTGCATGGGGGCTTCTTTCTGGCGGGAAATTATGAAATATCCGAGAAATCACAGAGCCTAAACGGAGGAGCTCTTACCAAATATGAGGTCTGAGTGACTGAAAAATTGCTCAGATCGTCTTCATCGTCATCATCAGGGAGTTCCTGCTTAAATCGTTTGATGATCGGAGTGACTGGACCGCTTGGTGGTGTCGGTGCTGACGCTGAATTCTTCTGCTGTTGCTGCTGTTGTGGTTGCAGCTGTGGTTGAACGTTACCTGCCTCACTGGAACAACTCAAAGGCGCGACAGGGACGGGCGCTGCTGTCAAGGGTTGCTTGGAGGCGGGGTGTGGAGCGTTCGGAGAGCTTGTTGTGGTTTTAGTGTTAGACGTAGAAGAAGAAGTAGTAGTAGTAGTGGTACTTGTAGTAGTAGAAGCAGAAGAAGAAAAACACGAAGTAGTTGCTGGAAGATTCGAAGGCGCAGGACTTTCGCCCGAGGAGCCCGGCTCTGTTTTGATCTTCACTGTACAGTTGCTTGAAATAGACGAGGGACTCGCCTCGAAATTCTCACTGACTTTTGGAGCGTCTTCGATTCTCTGCTCTTCGGGTGATGCCTGAAAGGAAGAATTTCGGTTCCGTATTCTGCCCTCCTACACTAATTCCCAAGCTTGATTGGGATGAATTCTGACTCAAACAAAGGGCGACAGAAGTGGCGTGTGATTCATTGAGCCAAGAGACCAAAGAACCTGGATGGAGTATCGCGCAATCGATTAGGGAACTCGGAGCGGAACGGAATTCGACAGAGGAAACAGTGCTCACCGCGTTTGCTTGAGGCGTTGAGGGCGGTTCCTGTTTCACGCAGCTGAGGTCAAGTCTTGGAGAAGTGACGATATTTAACGCTGGGGATGGCGCAGACCCGTTCGAGGAACAAGATGATACGCTCACAACGTCTTTCCAGGCACTTGCGACGGCAGAAGGCGGCTTGTCTGCATGTGCCTCCTTTTCGAAGAGATCGACGAACGGTGTGTCGGCCGGATCGTCTCCGTTGCTCTGGAGGAACAATCCGGCGCCCGATAGAGATCTGAGCGCTTCTTCAGTTTCTTGGAGCTTCTTTGCGGTGTCCTCTTCGTCTTTGGGTTTTTTGACGACACCGTCACGTTCTTCGGACCGCTTCCGTTTTAGAGCTGTTTGGAGCTGCTGGTGTCTGTTCGCAGAACTATTAACGTTGCTCGGGAAGGCGGGCACGCGTTTTTTCACTTGGTTGTTGTTGCTTGTGTTGTTGTTGTTATTGTTGTTATTATTATTATTGATGTTGTTGTTGATGGTGTGATTCGAGCTTGTGCTCTGGTGAGCGTGCTTGCGAACCACGTTTTCCTCAAGCTGGAATACCAGAAAAAAAGACCGTTTTCAAAGCAGCATGACAGCACACAATAATCTTCGTCTATCGGTGCCGGGAACAATTAGTCAATGAGCCGCAGTCCAGGCCCTTTGTGTCGAGCGAGGCTCTTCGCTCGTATCGTGTGCTTCGCCACTTTGCTGAATCACTTCGTTCGAACACTGTGTTAAGGAAGCAGTGGCAGTAAAATAATTGATCACCTGCGGTCCCCCACAGCCTCCGATATACGGGAAGACCGTTGAGAGAATCGCTAATTAGGGTCCGAGCTTTCTCTCAGCAGATCGGCGGGAGCAGCAGCAGCATCGGCGACAGCGACTCACCGAAGTGGTTGCTTTCTCACCGGACGGCCCGGCCTGCACGCATGTTTAGCTCGTTCACCGTCTGGTCGGATGGCCACTGGCTGAAACGTCTTTCGCAAGTTGAACAATCGAACCTTACGCTCGAGCGCGGTCAGCTGAATGCATGCGTGCCCGACTCTTTCAAGGAGAACCGGACTCGCAAGGAGTTCGAGGGCGGTATCGCTGTGGGTGCAAGCCACATAGATGGATTAGGGGCGACTCGGATGGTCGCTCGCTCGGTCGTTCAGTCAGTCAGTCTGTCTGTGCTGCTACTGACTCCTCGGTTTGCAGTCAGGCTTGCTTTCTTGCACCTACTCCCTCTCTCTCCCTCAAGTCCCCCCGCCCCCCGGCACTACATGGGGAGTTGCATATTCAGCGGGGAGGAATCAGCTACCCAGCGCTTCGGCCCCGGCAACGACTGGCAAAGAGTCTCGGAACCGCTTCGGCAGTCAGCCGGTCGAGCGAGCCAGCCAGCCAGCGAACGCTCGAACGACATGAATCACCCGAATCTATCATAGGTGATCCATCAAAGTTTACACTAAAATACACCCCGCCACTCAGTGGGAAAAAGCCGTGGGCAACTAGGAATTTGGTACAGCGAGCCAGCACGGTCGAGCACGAGGCTTCGCCAGCCAGATATCTCGGCGATACTTATTATGCGAGTGTGCAAGAGGATGAAAAACGGAATCGCCGTCTCGATCGCCGTGCATCGAAGGGTCTCATCTGCTCAGGCCAGTCCCTTTCAGACTCCGAATTCTTGCGTCTGAGTCGCTCAGGCGCGATTTTGGACTGCGAGCGATTCGCTCCGATCCGAGTCCGAATCCCTGACCGAGAGTTAAAAGCATTTCCTAAAGATCTCCCCCCTGCTGATCAGAGTTCCTTATCTGATTCGTTCGTTCACCGCCGTCCTGCGACGGTCGAAGTGAACGCGGGCTCACTCGGTCAGCGGAGCCTATGATTTCGGCCTTCAAAGGCGAATATTGCAATATATGACGGGTCGCTCTCTCGACTCCTCAGCAGGACGACAAGCTCGTCATAATGGCCGCTGATCTCCACCCAGTTCAGGCCGTGGCTCGCAGAAGAAAAAACTTCGCGGGGAAGGCAGAGCAGCAGCAGCAGGCGGAGGAGGCGGCGGTGGTGGCAGGGTTGAGAATTCGTGCATCGAGACGCAAGATGGAGTGCCGCAGACAGGACAGCTGAATCCGCTCACGAAATCTTGCGATCAGACAACACTACCACCACCACCACCACCGATTCTCCGAGCAACGATGGGACGAGCTCTAGGGACAAGAAGTAGAGGTGAAGTCGTTCCAACCTGACACACTCCCCCTCGTGCTTGACCGGGAAAACTCGACGAGCAGATGCAAACTTCAAAATCTTCTGTTGTTGTCGCCTTTTCTCCACCTCACCTCGTGTTGGGTCGCCTGCCTGCCTGCCCACCCACCTACCCGCCTACCCATAGCACCGCCTGTCGAGCCGTATGTCTACTTGCCAGACGACGGCTCCTGCGGCAAACCACAGGCAATCTCTATCGAAAACGAAGCTGTGGTCAGATCGGAGAATGGCGTGGCGTTGCCGAGCGCGAGGAGGATACGTTGGCAAGCCAGGGGCGAGGGGGGAGTCCGGCAGACACCGGGGGAACGAGAAAGCTGCGTGAAGATGCGGATGCACCGCTGGAGGGACCGTTAAAAGTTTGCAGATGGCGGCGTTCGCAGGTGTCTCTTGAGGGCCGCCGTCGGGCTGTTCGGCAGGCCCGACGGACCGAGCGGCCAGCCGTTCGACCGTTTTGCAGACCAGCGAGCGATGGAACATGCGGACGAGCGGGAGAGGGAACGCTGGTCGGTCGAACAGGACCGCTAGGTGTAAAATGTTTTACGATAACTTTAGGGTAACAGATAGAAGACGAGGAAGCAAGTGGCTGAGAGAGGCCCAATGCCTCTCGTAATAAATGTTCGCGGTGGCTTCAAGCAGTTTGAAGCAGGTGGCGGTAATAGCCGCGCTACTACTGCTGCTCCTCCAGCAACGGAAAGGAGCAAACATACAGCCCGCAGAACCGATGGAGACGTACGCATCTACCGACAGAGTGCCGCGGCTGCGTCGACTGCGATCCGACCCGAACATCGAATCAAGAGGTATTTCGCGAGGAAAACCGGAGCCAAAAGGGATTAAGAAAAATCTACACCGACAATGTATTTGATGCTGCGGATCCTCGCACAGTCCCACTCACTGACTGAGTGAACAAACTTGCCGCCCGCCTGGCGGCATTCTTAGCGGCATCGCCAGCTTTCCCCCGACAATTTTTCATCATCCGCTGACGTACTAGGACGCCCGGATCATCAGAATCACACCAAGGGTTCCGATTCCTGATGAACAGATTCACGTGGGGGAGGGTGAAGAATTGGGCGCGACGCTCACATGACACCGTCACATGGTGACCGACAGCTGAATGCCGGACAAGAATCATCAGGTGGCCCTCATGGAAGCATTCCATTTTACAATGCCGTCACCTCTCGACGTGGGGTCATCGCGCCCCGGAACAAATGAATAAAATGTCCGAGCCGCGGGTTTTCCGACAAACAGAAATTTTCCGGTTCGGGAAAAAATGGCATCGGACTAGAAATACCTCGATTCCGAGCTGAGACGGGACGGCTCTTGGTTTTCGACTCGAGAATGGAACGATTCCATGACTTCTCCGACTTCACTGGAATGACTTTCGCGTCTCAGCTCGAGACATCGAGCTGGATCTCGAGCGCGCCTTCCGAGCTGAGTTAAAAGGAAGTTTTCAAACTTTTCGACCTCGGTGAGCACTCTGCATCCTCAGAGGGAAATAACGGAGATTAGGTTTTCCACCTTCGACATCGGACTTCGAGAGCTCGGCGAGCTCGTGATCAACAAGTGCAAGTAAGATCAGACTCATCCGAAGCGATGGGAACTCAACTGTCGGTAATCTCAAACTTTTCTCGGTGGAACAGATTAGCGAGTCGTCATGAGTCGGCTGCTGAGCACCTATCGGGAAGACGCCCGTGGATCAAGCCGAAACCGATCCCACTTACTTTTCGAAAGCTCTAGGAGCCGAGATCTCACAATATACGCGAGTGGTATGCACTTCGAGAGCGCACAGAACAATTCAACAAACACTTCTAAAGTTCACCCCTCATGGAAGTGGGGTTCATCCAAGATGGCCGCCGCGCAGACTCTGGCGAAAGAGCGGATCCCGGCCCGACTCAGCTGCAGCATGCAGAGGAGCAGCCGCGGCAGCACCTGCGATGGCGGTGCTTTCGTAGTTTCATCGAAGAGAGAATGATAGATCGGCAGACTTATCAATCGACCTGAAGCGACTTGGCTCCAAAAAACTAGATGTTCGTCGACAATGGGCGCGTGCTGACTCCGTTGAGCGATTCCGAAGTACTCTAGCTTCGGAATAGCTGCTCTCTGCACCCGTCAAAGGAAGACCGAGCGGAGCTGCATAGTCGTCCCATTCCATATCGCCGACATCCCTTCGAGGGCCACGGATTTGAAATCCACAGCGGAGGATCGGGAGTCGATGGTCGGGGAGGAGTAGATGAATGTCAGCCGAAAGAATCATCGATTTCAAATCGACGTTCATCAAGTGACGTCAACCTAAGGGTCTGCTGGCTCGCTACGTCTGGAAACTCCACGCTGACGGGTTTCGCGTCCGAATTCTCACCTTGCTCATCTCTCAGGTGCCTCCACGTCCCGGAATCTGGAAAGATCAGAAGAAACACGTTTGAGTATGAATGTAGGGAGTGGGGTCCTGTTGTCAGATCTGCGATTTTTTACAGAACTCGAGCCCTGTCCCTATGCTTTCGCCGCGCACTAGCGACAATTGTGCGTTCGACAGAAGCTCGGCCATGCGCCGTGGAAAGCAAGTCCACTGTCGGCAACAACAGGATCAAGTTACTCGGCGACTTAATTGCCGAGAAAAAGTTTATCTTGCTCGAAAGCCAGTCCTCGCAGTGCCATTTCTTACGAGAGCACAGCCGCGTGTACTGTGGTCTTGAGGCGACCCCTCTGGTGGCCCGCGAGAGGAAGAGAGGCATTCGAAGCCTCTGCTGTGGACACTTCACGACGAATGGTGTCATTAGTGGCTTGCAAGCAAGTCCATCCAACAGGTACTTGAAGACCGGTTCAGTATCCCACATCGTAGAGAACGACGGAGCCTCGAATTCGGAGCCACCGGAGCGTCAGGTCGGAGTGCTGTTCTTCGGAGGTCTTTTTCCTAGCCCGGGCGGCTCTGCAGCTGTCACTTGAGGCCGGATTCTTATCTGGACAAGCTCAGGGAATATTTCCCATGGAACTTCGGACGGAGACTTTTGGGGAAATCGATAGTTTCTGCTCATTATTCAGCCCTCTCGGGTTACCGAAAAGATCCGGGAGATCTCTCGCAGATCTGGAGCTCTGGAGTGGGAGCTTCCGGCCCGGCTTCGTCGGACTGGATCATTCTCGAATAATTTGTTGTTTGCTCCGGGATTCCCAGGCGTCGGACGTCGACTCCCCAATTCACACCTGCCCGCCGGCGCCGCCTGGCAGCAAGCAGGGAGTCAGGCTTCCGCACGGAAGCCTGACCAGAGCTGTGCGCCGCGTCACGAATTCGCCGGCGATCGCCGCCGCCGACCTCTGGAGTCCGCCGCCGCCGCCGGAACCCGAGCACGGCGTCCGACGGCGTGACGGAACGCCGGCGCGCCGTGCCCAATCCTCATGAAAAGTAACAGAAAACCACGGGAAAAAAAATTGGATTCGGTTCGAGGTACTGAGCTCGCACGAGGATGCGGGGACATAGCATTCGAATGAGACGGGATGTTTCGGACCGAAGCTCCGCGGTCATTGAGAGCCCTGACTGATCAATTAAACTTGAATTCATCGGAAGATCGCACGTGTCAGATAGTATTTCATCCCCGACAAATGAGGAGACGCAATCAAAAGACTTTCGAACGTGCGTTCCACCTATCCCGCGGCGCGCCGTGGGCTCATCGGTCCGCCGAAAATCGCCGCGGCGCCCGCCGCCGCCGCCCGTTTTCCAGCCCGCCGCCGCCGCCGACGAAAATCCCATGGCGCACAGCTCTGAGCCTGACTCGCGCACTGCAGCCTGTTCAAAGGATCGGTGTGATTTCTGCTCTGAATTTCGAAAGCTGGAAGATTCCGTATGCGATCACCACTCACCACCCATCAGGCGGTACGATTGACCGCCTTCTCGCAACTTGTCCGCGTCATAGAAGGTCCGCCTCGGCGCGCGAATTCGAAATTGTAAATCAGCTGTTTGGTGTTTGTTCTCCGGGAGCCATCGATGTGGCTCGTGGGGTGAGAGTACTCTTGCGTTGAAATAAAGCCTCAATTCGGGGAATCGTGTAAGCTCCGAGTGCCGAAACCTCCGAAAAGATCCGGAATGGTAAGTGGGAGGAGCGCTTTCAGATTGAGGCGCCCTCTAGCCACCGTGCGTTCGGTCAGGCCTCGGGCCCTCGAACATCCTCAGTGGGTAGCGGTCCGTCGGGGGAGCTGCCGCCGGAATTCTCTATTTCGATCATGCTCTAGCGTTCTACTACGGGCGGAAACCTTAAGAAAGTCATTGGGAGCGGGTTTAGAACTCGGACGGAATATCCGGACGATGTAGAATTTCCGGGCTCGGATTCTTTTCGTGCTCTCGCATCGGAAACATTGTTCATACGGCCTCGCTCCCGATCTGAACATCCGACTCATCATTGAATTCTCGGCTGACAGAACAAACAGACGCTCCTCAGCATAATGACATGAATGAGTGATAAGACGAGTTCGCCCACATTGGATGTTGCCAACATTTTCGGCGATATCCCGATTCGATGATCGATTGTCTCTGAATGTGGCTTCTGGGCGACGAATGCACGTTCGAACGCCGCTGTTCGGGAAATCTCGAAAGCGGATCGGATAAGTTTTGATCAATTTTTTATAGGCAACTCAAGAAGAACTCGACCGACAGTTTGCCGAGAGGCTCCACCAAGAGGAACTCGAATCACTCAACAATTCCTACCAGCCCACAGAGTACGACGTCGAGGAAGACAGATTGTTAGCCGAAAGGCTTCAGCGAGAAGAAGAGGCTGAATATGCCGAGTTGAAGCAAACGGACGTCGAGCCGGGGTCCACCGCAGGCGCGAGAGACAACGAATACGATTCTCCTTCGACTTCTACGGGTGTCAAAACAGGGTCGGGTTCCGCCATGGGAAACCTTCGGATGGATTTGCCTTCAACGTCGAAATTCAAAGAACGTCAGAAGCTATACGCCAAACACGAAAACCTCTCTCTAGTCGATCCTGTCTGGGAGCAGATCGATCCAACGCCGGACATTCATGCGCTGTTCATGGCGTTCGACAACCGTTTTTTCGGTGCATATCTGAAAAGTTGTGAAGTGCGTTGGAGTCCCAGGATGACTCTGTGCGCCGGTCTCTGCTGTTTCCAGCCCCGTTCCAGGTTCTGCTCCATTCGGTTATCGAAGCCATTGTTGTCGCTTAGACCGCGGTCGGATCTCGTCGAAACGCTTTTACACGAAATGATTCATGCGTTCCTATTCTTGACGAACAACAACCGGGACCGGGACGGCCACGGCCCGGAGTTTCATAAACACATGTACCGTATAAATGGAGAGGCCGGTACGAAGATTACGGTGTACCACTCATTCCACGACGAAGTGCGCCATTTTAAAGTTCATCATTGGAGATGCACGGGACCTTGCAAGGACAGAGGACCTTACTACGGCTGGGTGAAGCGATCGATGAATAGGGCGCCGTCAAAAAACGATTTTTGGTGGGCGGAGCATCAGAAACTCTGCGGTGGCGAGTTCATGAAGGTCAGCGGCCCGGACAAGCAGACTAAGGAGCCGAAAATGAAGAAATCACAAAAGGGAACGACGACTGGACCTCCCTCGCCGTTGAGAAAGTACTTCAAAACCGATAGCGTTGCTTCTACCTCGACGCAACCGGGAACGTCGGGCACTCAGAGCACTTTCGTCAAAAACAAAGGCCTAGCTGACAACACAAAAGCGGACCGCGGTGATGCTGGTGGAAAGGCCACCGGGAAGAACGCGGAAAGCGCTAAGGGGATCAGCTGGTCGACACCAAAGGAGGGAAAATCCAAAGGCGCTATTCCTCCGTCGCGAGCGAGCGGCACCGTGACCCGGGTCCCCGGAGTTCCCAGACCTTCACAAGGAACGGGGGGGCGAAAGACCTCGACGTCTGCTACCGGTCAGAATTCGCCAAGTAATCGGCCAACTGGGTTCGGGAGGATACCACCCACGCCACCCAGCCAGCCGGCGATAAGAAAATTACCGAAAACTGGCGGCGGCTTCGGTTCCCGCGTTGTCACAATCAATGGACCGGTGTCAAGGCAAAACGTTCCGACGAGCCCACGAATCAATCTATGGGGGGGGAATGATTCGCCGCCAGTAAGGGGAGTCGTCCCCGGCAATAGAGCTTTCGTACCTTTTGGTGGCCGAGGCAACGTTCTAGGAGGTTCTACGAGCGGATCACGAATGGGATCGAGTCAACGGTCGAATGACAGACCCCAATCATCACTTTTAGACATGTTGACCCGGACCGCTATCACAGAACTTCCGTGGAAAAAGATGAGCGAGCGGTTGCTCCATATTTTCAGCAGTGATGAAGAAGACGATACAATCCACCAAGATAAGAAGCCTCCGAAAGCTGAGATAAAAACTGAGCCCGCAGACAGGAATGCACCACGAAATGAAATTGATAGAGACAAAGCGCCTTCGAAACGGAAGTTCGACGGCGAGGCTTCGACATCACTACCACCCACGAAGCAGTTGAAACGTGAACCGGACAACGAACCTTCGACTTCCAGACAAACCACCGAATCTCAGTCAGCTCTCGTTATACCCGATTTCGATGTTGAAGTCGTTTGTCCCGTGTGTTCGTCAAAGGTCATGGAGTCGAGAATTAATTCGCACATTGATAGCTGTCTACAGAAGGAATCATAACCCAAATCGTGATTTTTCCTGAACAAGAATATGCCGCGGCTGCTTCACCAGGCCCATACGGAGCGTTGACTCGAGCCAGATGACGTCATCTGATCTGAGGAGAGATTCATGTGGTCAAAGCTCGGCTCTGAGTTGCCTCTTAGCGTGGTTCCTTCACCTCGGAAATGCTCGAGATACGAATAATACCGAAAGAAATGTTGAGCGGATAGGCTCGAGTTCGGGATTCGAGCACAAGAACTGTGATTACGAGTCGAGGTGCTTCATTATTCAATATAAAATAAAATATATATAAAAGACTGTCAATAAGTCGAGATCAGAAGTCGGAGTTTTTTTTTTCGTGCGGGGAATGCTCCCCGAGATCCGTACAAGACGTCCGGAGTCTGCCCCGAGCTAGTCGCGAGCGGCCGACGTTGGTCGCGTATCGAACGGGGATGCGATGTGGAGTGCGAAGAGCGCTCCGGCTCGAAATCCGATGTTTGGACTCGCTATCAGTTAGAGTGACTACATAGGCTCGAGGAACGCATTACCAAAAAGTAGAGCGGCGAACAACTACGGCAAATAGAGAAGGGGTGCGGCCATGAGTGCTGCTGTTGATGATGGGGGTGATTTTCCCATGGTTTGCGAGTGAGAGTGGGAGCGTCTGCTGACTCGAGGGAACCCCACAGATGCGATTCCCTATTTTGCCAATTTTAAAAAGTGTCTCCGGGGACCGCGGCGCAAGCCTACGGATTGGCGTGGCCAGCTCTGCTTCCCCCGACTTCTCTTCCGCCCTCTTGGTAGTCCTCGGCAGTGGTAGAGGATGGTTGGAACTGGTTGTTCTTTCTGACTCGGTCGCTCGTTCGCTCGCTCGCTCGTTCGTTCGGCGTATTGCGCGCTTGCCCACTACTCCTCTCCACGAGTTCTAATGGCGCGAATGTGGAGCCCGATAAGGAACCACCGACTCTCAAACAGCCTCATGTGTCGTCGCTTTGTGCGTGTAGCAGATAACTCTTTTTGTTCCAGATGACTTGCCTGAAGCCGTTCATTTCATTGAATCAGCGCAGAATCGCTGTTGCCACCACCTACCCTGCTCCGACTTTACTGTTTCCTCTCCATCACACCGGCGAGCGGCAGTTTATTCCCGGAATGATTAAGTTACCAAAAAAAATATACTTCCGCGCGATTTTTTCTCTCGTGTCGATTTCATGTACACATCCCTGGAGCGGGAACCTGATGAGGCACGAGCGAGGTCGACGGAACTCGACCGTTCTCCCGATGCGGAGGAGACCGACTCACTCAGACACCGGTCAGGAGTCGAATCGGTTCACGAGAAACAACGGAAGGATAGCGACGACGAGAAGGTCCAAGCACGTAGTATCTGTCGTCTCATCGAAAATCGAATCGAAACCCGATCAGAGTCCGTGCCTCGTAGCCGACAGCTATCGGCCGGCGACCCCGACGACAGGACCCCACATCCTGTCCTTCACTCTCCCGGCCAGGGAGATCGGTGTCAGCGACTTTCCAGCGATGAACTCACGGCAAGGAACCGTCGAGCGCTCAATCGGCCTGTAAGGTCAATTTAAGAAGGATCGCTACGGTGAGTATTTCGGCGTCTCGCGACGAGGAACAGGGTGAACGACAAGAGCAAACACACTAACGAATTCGTCGCCAGACGATATGCTCTGACTGTGGGAACAAGAGTCCCTTCATCAAGGCGTTGAAACTACCTGGTCGGACACCGCGCGGCCGAGCCCGATTGCTCAGATTGCATTTCCCCCGTCAACTCCCGGACATTGTGGAAATCTGAATCAATCGATCCGGGTGGGAGAAGGGAATTTACTCCACTGGTAGAAGCCACAGTCTGTCTTATACGAAGAAAAAAAAGAGATCGCTCTACTCGATTGGGAGCGGGGATTTCTGCTGGAGGATCGAAAGGTGGGCAATGAGGATTTCCCTCTTTACTTCGCGACCCCTGTTCGACTCAACGGACGGGTTAGAACCTTCGTCGACGCGAACGACAATGTACAGAGTCGAGCGCAAGAATCCGTGCCAGATAGATAGACACACCGACGAACGGCTGGAGGAACCGACGAACGGACATTCAGGACGGGAGAGTCTTTTAATGAGCAGATTAACACTGTTAAAATGGTTTTAGTTTCTGCTCGAACGAGCTAAGAATTACTAGAGCGAGCTAAAATGATCGCGAACGACGACGGCGGCGGCGATGGTAGCGAAACGGAGAGAGATCGACGGGAGTGAACCCCTTTGCCTGCATCCGTTCTTTTCCTGGCCCCTTCTTGCTTGCTCGCTCGGAAGACTGACTGGCTAGCCAGTCAGCCAGCCAGCCGGAGAATGCAATAGCGGCAGTGGAAGCAACAACAACAACAGCGATGACGGCGCCGCGGCGTCTCCAAAAACAACGGTTCACCACCCGACAGACTCGCGTTTCCTCAGTCGGCAGTGCGATGAACACGCACGCGAACAGGCAGACCGACCCAGTCAGCCGACTTGCAGGCAATTCCAACCCATCGGGATTATATTGCCGCCGCCGCTGTCGGCCGGCAGCTCAAGCGACTGTTCGCATAACATGGACACAGCGTCAGAAACGACAAAGCGTTTCGGCGTGCGGCCGAGAATGCAGACGTCGAGCGATAGACGAAATGAGCGGCATTGAACATCCTCGGCATTTTTGCGCCTCCGCCACAACAAGCGTCGAATCGGAGCCAACACTGGCCAACTGGCTCGCTGCCGGCTCACAGACGGGACAGGGTGGCTGTTTGGAATAGCAGCAGGAACCTCTCGCTATCGGAGAGTAGGCAGAGAAAACAGCCGGAGAGTTGCGACGGCTTCGAGTGCGCTAGCAGCAGAAACGACGACCTAATTGCATTAAGTTCGAAGAGTGAGGACACACAACGAGAACGCATGTGAGTGGCGCTGGCGCTCAACGGCTGCTCTCTGTTCGGCTGCGTCGAGCAGAAGTCGATAACGTCACGAACGGTTTCCGTGCGAGCTCGGTCGACCAGGCCTCGTCCAGATACCTTCTGTCGAAGCTGGGTGCCGCTCCGGAAGCGGCTCGGCCGCGGCTGTCGCTCGCGCCTGAGCTCACGGAAAAGCGCTGACAAGCCTTGAGAAAGCGTTGCACTGGATAGCTCGATTGCGGGATCCGAGATTGAGCCCAAGCCCTCGCGATGGGCTCGAGAGAACCGAAGCCATAGATTTTGAGGGGTCGAGTTCGAGATCGAACCGAGGAATGGTGTCGGAAAGCTCAACGCGGGTCGAGAGAAGCTTACAGAAAGTTGGGACTCGCTCAGATGGACGTCCGGAAAGGTGAGGAACGGTCGGCGATGGAGAGCGTACGACAGAAAAGGAACATCGAGGCGAAGTTGGGGACGGAAGGTCCCCAACAGGCCGGCACGCGGCACAGGCGCAAGCGGTTATCTCGTTCAGCAGAAGGAGCAGACAGACAAGTTGCTTCACCAGTTTGACCAACTGACTGACTGACTGGTTGGCCGGCTGGCTGGCTGGTTGGCCTTCTGCCCAAGCTCGCAGACACACGATAACCAGACGAGCGAACAGGAAAGCCGTCTGAAGTTCTTTTGATTCGTAAATCTCCTTCTTTAGGGCTCTACAGGGTGTTCTTGGAGGCCGGTGGCCGATGAACAAACGAGGGCTCCGAGCAGCCGGCCGAACAACAGCTCAACAACTTAACCACCCCGAGTGTGAAGCGTGAAAGGGAAGAGGCGACAAAAATATCTCTAGGAACAGCTTCCGCCTCCTTCTGCGCTCAACCGCTCGTCCTATTTTTTTGCGCTCTCGAAATCCTGAGACGCTGGCGTAGCCTCCTTTGCGTAGCTGCAGGTTGTCGGTCCGTCAGTTTTATGAGGGTAACGCAGTTCGTTGAAAAAATATGACGACAACAAATTACGACCGACGGGCGCTTCTGAAAGTTTTTAAGCCGCTTGGTAGGAAAGATTAAGAGGTGAACTCCGTGAAGAACAGACGAAGGACCGGAGAAGCCGCGAGGATTCCCAACGATGCGTTGCGATAGATCGAGTCGTCCGTTCGCTGTTAGCAAATCAAGGAAGACTCAGGATTCGAGCCAGCGGGCGGGGCCCGATTTCAGGGCCGAGCGGAGGAGCCGAATACGATCATGAGTGAGCTCTGCTCCATAAATGAAGTACCTCGAAGAATTGAGGGTCGGAAGATAGCGTCCACTCTTCCCGAGAAATTCTTGTGCCGCCTTCTGGCTATTTACACTTCGGCGCGAATCGCTTAACAATGTAAACTTCGTCTTCCCACCGATATTTCTTCGTCATCATCAGAGATCGAGGGAAACTTCTCGGAAGAGTCCGAACAGAAGAGAAAGGCGTTAGACTCTGGGCATACAACGGAAGATGAGAATCAGAAAACATATCGCACCGACCAACGGATTGGGTTTCTTTCGATTCTGGCTCCATTTCACTCCCGCTCCGTCTCCCCAAGCGAGATGGTCGCCCGATGGTTTTGAAGTCTTGCAATCAATTGGAAAACTCCTTTTCCCCCGCTACGAGCCTAAACTAAATCCCGTGGGTGCGCGAGACGACGCTTTTTAGAGCAAACACCTCAAAGCCGTATAAGAAATATATACGCTTCCAATCGGAATCAATCGAACCCTCGCTCGCTCGCTGCTGAGACACAGATAGACCGCTCGGACGAAGCCGCCGGCTGGTCGGTGGTGCTGTTTGCTCGGTAAGCTATCCATTGGCTGTTCCGTGCCTTCGTTTGTCCGTTCGCCCGCTCCGGCAGATGTTCCCCCGATCAGGATTAGATCAATGTCCTTTCGTTGCGACTCCCTCTCATGTTCTTTCCCTGTTGCCAGCCGTTCGCCGTCGTATACCCCGCTTTGACGAAAACGTACGCCTCTGCTGTCTTGCGGCCTCGCGCTCTCCGGGAATTTCGCGAGTTTTTCTCGAACACAGACGTATTGAATGACGTTTTGCCGCAGCTTGAAACGATTATCACGGGAAAGCTCGAAGTCGCTT